GGGGGGCAGTGCAGGGCCCAGCGGAACGGGGACGCCGAGCTGGTGTCCCCTGGGACCCCCGGGCACCGCTGCGGACCCACCTTCTGCTCGGAGAGCTGCGAGCCGAGAGCCTCGGGGTCCAGCTGCACGCGGCCGATCTCCTCCAGCCGCTTGCCCAGCCCGGTCACACGGGCAAGCTGGGACTCCAGCACCTGCTCAAACTGTGGCAGAGGGACAGATGTCAGCCGGGCAGAGTGGGCACACACCGGGGCGGCCGCTCCAGGACAGAGACTGAACACATCACAGCCCCACAGGACTGTCTCCCATAACCCAGAGTATCCCACCCAGACCCAACTCCACCACCTCCCGCTGCAGAGAGAGGCCAGGAATGGTAAAGGGAGGCAGAGGGTGACAGTCCCCAAAGTGCCGCGTCCCACACCTTCTCCCTGTCACCGGCGCTGACTGGGGCCTCCTGGCCGTCACCCTGGCTCTCCCGCTTGCCCAGCTCCTTCTCCATGCGGCCCAGCCACAGCGCCAGGTCCTCGGGGGCTGTGCCCAGGCGGGACGAGGCCTCCAGGGTCTGCCCCAGCCGGTGTGCGGTGTCGGTGCTGCTCTGGCCCACGATGAGGTACCGCATCCTCAGCGACTCCATCTTCTCCTGCACCAGCTGGGCCTCCTCCCCTGTGGCCACACCACACCGGCATCAGAGCCTCCGTGCCAGCATCCCAGGCGTGGGATCAGCCACACCGACAGCTTCCATCGCTGTGATGGTCACTCTGTCCCGACCTTTCTCCTCTCCTGCTGCTCCCAGAGCTGGATCTGGCCCCTTATCCCACTGCCACCAAAATCTACCTTCCCAGCTTCCCCTCACTGTGGCTGCACCCTGTCCCACCATGGCCTTGACCCCCAGGCTCTGCCCTGGCCTCTCTCCATCCCATGGGATGCTGTACCCCTTCACACCGCCCCACAGCCCCCAGTGGGGAGCAGCACATTCCAAGGACCCCCAGTGCCCAGGGGTGCCATCCCTGGGCTGGGCTGCCGCACTCTGTGCTCACCCCATCCCACACCCCGCAGTCCCAACCCCGTGGCCGCCACTCCTGGCCATCGCCACTCACCTGTCACCATCTCCAGGACCCGCTGCCCTCTCTCCAGGGCACTGTCCAGCTCTCCCAGCCGCCCGCGGATCTCCTCACAGAGGGCCTGGGCAAGAAGCTCCCGTGGCAGTGACC